GCTCCATCTGCAGGATCTCCTCTTCATAGTAAGTCCCTGCAGTCACATAGGCCATCTGTGAGAGCTTGGGAGGACAGGCTTCCTACAAAGACAGGAAAATGGCTTCATTATTTAAAGAACAAGCATGTTATACTGTATGTACAAATAAAATACAGTTGTGATGCCATCAAGTATATTGGGACGTGCTTTGGTTCTCACATTGCTGCAGTTTTTAGTTTGTTGCAATGCTTTGATGCCTGCCTGTTGTTCCTTACCTCCATCTTGGATGCTATAAAGAGACAGGTTATCCCGATGAGCTGCAGCATGTTCTTCTCAATGTTGTCCTGCGTCAACATGAAGCGGTCGAAGTAATCCTGAGCCAGGTAGAACGTCTGCCGGTGGAGAGTGTAGGCCTCACTCACCTGGGGAGACAACGACAAAAGGAAGAAGGTTAAAAAATGTTGTGATGATCGATCGAGAGTAAAGAAAATGACATGACTTTTTCAAGTTTATACTATTAGGGGAAAATATCATAATTGGACAAATAAATGTTTTAGTAGCCTGATTTTAAATTGCGTTGATCAAGATATTAAACAAGGCTTGAACACCTACTGTATGGAGATGTGAAAATGGACGGATGTCACACAGGCAATAACTAATTGGGTTAGAATTTTGTACATTTTTAATTATGCATTTACAACTAGTCTAGACATACATTTTTAACTGTGACAAATATTTCATGGAGCATGTTTGTGTGTTTTGTTAAGACTCCTTTGCCGACGTACCTCAATTAACCAGTCGAGCAGTATGGATCTCATTCTGGGCTGTATCGCGGGGTGTTTCTGCATGAAGCTCTTGCTGTGTGTGTAGTTCTGCTCCCTGCCCACCATCTTCACCCACACGTCTTCAGGAGATCCCCATCTGCACACGCAGACAGAAGGAGGAGCAACAATTGTCTTTAACCAATTCAATTAAATGGGCAACTTTTCGACAGCAAGTAAAAATGGCCAAAAAAGATATCCAGTCCATCAAATGTGAAAATTCGAAAATGTTCATGTTCTGACATTACAATAAATAAAATATTGTGGGGTTTTAAATGACTGTATTAAACTGTCTGGCAGAAGATAATTACGAGTCAAACCATGGCTGAATAGTAAATGAAACTCACCCAAGAGGAGGCAGAGGGGACGGCTGAACCAGTGTGTGTGTGGCAGTGAGAACGGCCTCACAGTCCACTCCCCTCACAGCAGCTTTGATGAGAACACAAGGCTCAGCCACGCACTCAAGTACTGTATAGTTCTGAAGTAGAAAACGAGAACATTGAATGCAACACAGAGATGGAAACAGCACAAGATATTTCTGCAATGCTGATATGATCTTGAAGAAAATGATATGCTTGGGGGAGGAAGAAGGATTTGGCTCTTTATAACTGTAGTCTATTCTCTTGAATCCCTGATGGCACTCTTTGCTCCTAATTTTACTCAAAGAAAACAGTGCATCACTTTGTTTAATTGTCCAAGAACAAGGTTTCAGCTTCTTAGATATGGAGATGTCCTGCCATTATACGATTCATATCTCATCAAATAGATAATCATTTGGTTTTTAATCTGACAAAACAAGATATTTGAAGACTTCCCTTTGTACTTCGGATTGACATTTTGCTTTATTTTCTGTCATTTTATAAACCAAACAATAAATCACTACTTAAATAAGCTCTCACATACCCATACATAACACTACTGTCCACTAGTGTGTTTATATCACTGTGTGTGTATAGCATAAACACTCATATCATACCTCAAGCTGTTTATCCAGTAAATAAGTGCACTGTTAGTATTACTATTTACACACTGCACTTCATATGTTTTACTAATGCCTGCATAGCTTGATATGTCCACATGGTATATATTAAACATATGCATACCCATTACAGTTTATTCCACATTCTGAATAGATATAATATGTGAACTACTCAACACTTAAAAACCATGTTGCACTCTGAGTTGGAAGCTAAACTGTATTTCATTGTCTTTGTACCTGTATTCTGTGCAATGACAATTAAGTAGAATCTATTCTATTGAATGAATAAAAGAAAGGGGCATACCTTCTCACACTGCAGCTTTGACAGGGGCTGGATCTTTTTTCTGTTGCTTTGCTGAAAATAAAAGAAATAAGTTGTATGTCAGACCTCTGTGTATATAGCAACTAATGAAAACTGTTCTGTAGTCTCATAAATGATTAGTTTATTACCTTAGTTACTTTGCTTTTCTGCCCTGGAGCATTTTCAGATCTTTTCTGCAGGCGACCACTGCAAAGAAAACACACTGAACTCAACATGGAGTTGTCGATTTTACAACAGAACAACTAATCATCATACATAATAATTCATATAGCAACACAATGGGTATTTACCTTAGTCTAGACATGGTTTTGGAGGTTGCTGTCTGTAAAAAATAATAATATTAGAAGCAACGTTAGTGTTTGTTAACCAGGAAGTTGGCCCTCAGATGAAAACAGTTTCAACCAGCTGCAGCAATCTTGCACAAACAGATTCATTCAAAACCAAGCCCGATGAAATCACATTTACATACTATCATAATTTAAATCTCATCCTACGCGCCAACATTATTAGTGAGCGCGTAAAATAAGCCCCTCTACAGCAAACACCAGCGAATCTGCTGCTAAAACCACACTTTAATACACTTTATATGACCTTTAGAGATATTTGAGCCCTGAAGATCCTGCAGTTTAATGCTACAAAAGGACCGTGAACACCACAAAGAAACATGTAGTGAAGCCCCCCCAAACAGCCACAACTCTAGCAGCAACACAAAGGCCTGGGGAGGACATTTTGAGTAGTACCAGTGATAATTCAGTACTAACAGAGAAGTACACAATCCACAACTATAAAACAACCGATACGTTACGGTTTGTTTTACTTTTACGTGATATGTATAGTTACATCATGATTTAGACGCATTAATATCCAACTTTACAAACCAGGAACAGACAGCAAAGGACTCTTTCAAACTGTGCTTCCTCTCCACACATTTCCCAAAAACAGTCACCACTGTTGACCGGACTACTTATATATAGCTAGTATTTGCTCACTTTGATGCTAGCTTGATAACAACCGCAACAACTCTACCTACAAGCTCGACAACAACCGAGTTTACAAAACTATCAATAAAATAACAAACAAACTACTGCTTTAATTGTAGCATACACGTACACACTTGCCCATAACTTACTTCGGAATGACCCAGAACTGTAAAGGTACAACTCTTGGCTAAAGAGGCTAGCTAACTCTTCAGGAGCAGTAATGTTTGCAGCTTACCGAGTCGGTTCCGAGCCCAAATTAAACTCGTTTCCAGTTGGCGCTGGCGCCAACAAATGAGCATCTGCGGCAGATTGCGCATGTGTGTACTCCCAACCCTAAAGCTGACAGCTCGTTACCTCGAACATTAACTATAAATTAAAATAGGCTCACGTATAACTTATAGACAAGTTACTGTGATTGTGTAGTCATTAACTTTATGCTGTTCTATTCGTTTTATTTCAACCTACTTAACGCGTCAAGAGGAGTTGGTTCACTAACTAACGTTAAACTAGCAACTTAATAGACACACCTTAGGGTAGTGTTTATTTTCTTAAATAAAATGTTTGGTTTGAGTATTATTAAGTCTTTATTGTAATAGTAAACTTGTAAAAAAGATATGAAACTTAAATTAACATTTATTCTTTTGTTTCTGTCAGTTGCTTCTTCCGGTCTCTCTGTGGTGGGCGGGGCTACAGAACAGCACAGCCAATAAGAGAGCAAGAAGAATTGAGCGCGTGCTCTTGGCGCCGGATGTAAACAAAGCAGGCAGCTGTCAGAGCTGTCAGCGTGAGGGATCCAACGGAGCTGCACAGGGTCATGGCAAAAGTCATAAAAACAGACCATATACAATCTTACATCTCCTCTGCATAAATAAAGGTAATAAATCCTTTTTATTTTTAGCTTTTTTCTGGAATGTCTGTTATCAGCCTTTAGAATACGAGCCGCATGTATATTTTAAACTGTAGTACGTATGTTGTACATATGTTGGCATATGTAGACTATGTGTAGACAGTGTAGTATATACATGTATATGTATGAAATTCATGAATACATCTAGATATTTCAACGTATTAATGTTTGTATATACGCAACAAATGTATTTCACTCGAAAATGTAATTTTGTTTTAATTTAATAAAAGTTGTTCTATTTTATTTCCTATTATTGTGGTGGTATTCAATTGTCTCTTAAAATATCGAAGTATTTGTTTAAACATTTAATGTTTGGAGGGGGGTTCAACGGAATTTCATCGTGCATTTGTATGAAATCTTGGCTGAAACAGGCACCACCACACACTTGATGTAAAGTCGCCCCCTTGTGGATAAATGTAGTTTTAAATCGTACAATTATATTTATCTCAAAGTGGAGAGGGCTTATATAAATTCTAACGTACACAAATAAGGTGAAAATAAGTTAAAAAAAGTATATACACAATGTCATAATTAATGTGAGACATTTTGTAGCTCAGGCAAAATGTTTCCCCCCTATATCTTATGAATTTAATAGCTCGACCATTAGTTGGTTATTGTATTATTCTGTTTTATTATCATTGTTCAATCTGGACTCAGTCGCGCAGTTCAGGCTAAATAGAATCCTACATACTACATATTAAATTATTTCTTACAAATACAATGTTAAATGCACCATAATCTCAACAGCATCAATTGAACAACAGTTAAATGAAATACATTACATAGAATTAGGAAATTACATTAACTCTTTCTATACGATAAAGTTCTCAAAGTGTCTAGTCTTAATGTAAAGAGAGCACTTATTATCAAAATACTCCTGATGTTATATGTCAGAATCATGTATGTGGGTTGAGTCCTGATATGAAGTGTGAGTGACAAAGCCACAGGCTTCACTTCCTATCATGATGCTCTGCGTTAAATGGGAAGTTCTGTCACTCAGATAGAGAGGGAACAAGAGCGGAAGCCTCACTCAGTGCCAACTGTTTGTCTGGAGACAATAGAGCTGTTTCCCCCTTTCTGACAACAACATGAAGCTGCTGAAATGCATTTTAATCATCCAACTGAGCTGTCTTTGTCTAGGTAATGTATACATTTTTATACAGTTATAGACTATTAGTGCAAAACATTATTCACAAACTGAGTTATGGAGTTTTCTTTTTAACCAAGGAGACAATAATAGATTTATATTTAGGCAATATAAAGTGATGTATTCAACAACATTTTTTTCGAATGTGCGAATACCAACAGCACATAAGGTATGTTATTACATTTAAATTAAATTACGAACAAATGACAGATGTTGAAAGCAAAATCATAGCAGCTGGCATTGTCTTCTTTCGTTTTTTCTGCTGCTCTATCCTAAAAGAAAGAAAACTAGTTGAAAACTAATGCCGTTATATTGTGAAGTTTGCTATTTATTTTTCAATGTATTTTAGAGGAAATACAGTAGCCTTTTCATGCATTTTTAGTCCAATCATATCTGCTCTTTTTTTAAGTTTACAAGTGAATATTTTTATTCGAAGATTCCCTTAAAGAAAATGCCCTTAAAAGTAATTGCACTATTTCTATTCTATTCTATTTTATCTGTATTTACTTGCACTATTTTATCTGTTTTATTGTGTTGCACTGTTGGAGGAGCCTGTGACCTAAGATTTTCATTGACATAACTACACTGTAGCTATTTACGAATGACAATAAAAGCCTTGAATCTTGAAAATCTTGAATCTTGATGGTGTAGCAGTTAAAAGTTATCAAAGAAATAATAAAAAAAAATCATAACAATCTAGAGTTTGGAAGGAAAGTGGGTAAAGCCCATGTTTCATATAAATGTATGATTTTTTCGAAATGATGTTTGTGTACAATTTTATTTGGCTAACCCTTATTTCCAACACCGATCTTTAAGCACAACCCAGGAGCATGCCTTTCCACTACACAAATTACCTATGTCTACGACGAAAACACTTTTGAATAATTGTACTCCTTAAGATGAATTTACAGCAAGTGGAAACATAAAATGTTGATGTAGGAGAAGATGATTGTGGTGTGAAAGTTAAAACATAAAAGATTACACATGGCAGATAATCGATCATATTTTTACATTTCATTTAGCTGACGCTTTTATCCAAAGCGACTTACAATTACCAATTACAGGGACATTCTCCCTGGAGTAACTAAGGGCTAAGTGCCTTACTCAAGGGCACATAGTGGTGGTGTTCCAGGCGGGACCACCACTACCCCTATTGAGAGAGTTTATCCATATTGCACTTTGTCTGAATGCTGAGATACAAAAGTAATTTGGTCAGGTTGTTAAAAAAGTGAGTTTGATGTGGTGTGTGGGTGAGAGGCCAATATGAACTAGCGCTGACATTTTTACAGACAATGAAAGTAATGCCTCTTTTTTTATTTCCCTTTCAACAGGCCCAACTGATTGTCAGGTGAGAGCAGAGGGAAACTATTCAGGAGCGGTAATACAAGAGGAATTCAACAGTAAGTTTAATATTTATCTGCACTGCAAATTTGTTATTAAGAAACATATTTGTTCTCTTCCTTTTCCCACACACACAAACACACATTTATACCACTGTTGTTTACAAAACCTTCGCTCGAAAATCAGGATTAACACTAAATGCAGAGCGTATGAATATTCTCGCTCTTAATGTCACAGGATGTGGGGTGACCTGCTTGTGAAACGCATCTATCTGTAGTTTGCAGGTGCAAATCAAACAGTGAGAAAGTGTGCATTCTCCCACACACTCTGCAAACCCCCTTTTATTTCTGTCCTAATCTGCACCCTCATCATGCAGTTCTGTCCCTAAAACGAAATGCCACATGCGCTGCATTTAGAAAAAATTCACCAAACATGCACAGGGTTTACTAAAAGCTCTGCATAAACGAAACGCTGCAAACACGTTGTAACCTGACATGGTATTGCATTTTAGTTAAGGAAAGTATATCAAATGATATATTTGAGCTTCTTTGGGTCAAAGATAAAGGGGGAAAGTCCTTATAGTGGCTCTTATTCATATCTTCTTTGATTTGAGGTTTACAAGTGCGTCATTTAAAAACCCCCAGATATGGTAGCGTAGGTTAAGAACATTTAAAAAGATAACACAGAATTATATGACAGTAGCTCAGGAAATGATCAAATTATGCTTTAAATAAATATTTAGCAGCAGGAGTTAGTGTGTTAGTTAGTTAGCTAGTTAGTTAATAAGTAAGAGTATATTTAAATGTATTCAAAAGCAAATTGTATATATCGGATAAAAGAGGGCTAGGTGGAAGATTACGCCTGGCAGATAACTTTTTAATGATGTGCTCACCTTTCATCCTTCACCCACAATGCTCTGATCCACTTGCAAAAATATAAACATTTGTTTCCTAGTTCTGTTTCTACTCACTAGAGACCCACTCAGATATTCTATTCAATCTATTAATCTGCTGTTAAAATACTCCCAAACAAAGCCCCGCTTCCTCCTGGTTTAGTAACATTTTCTAGAAGCTACAGTGCCCAGCTGTTTCTGGGAAATAACTAAGCTTTTTAGAAGAAGAAACTTTATATTTGTGACATCATTTTGAAGGATACTTCAGTAGAACACAGACAGGGAAGGAATGACTAAAGTATAAGAAACTGACCAGAGTAAGAGAACAAGAAATGGTTGCTCTCACTTTGACTAATTTGTGCTTCTGTGTCTGCGGCCCCTCAGGTGACCCTTACATTCACAGACTCTCTGGTAACTGCAGCTTCACACTGAGGATGGGTGGAAACAGGAGCAGTGATGTGGTGGCTTTACCAGCAGACTCTTTGGATGAGCTGGCTGAACAGATGTGTAAGGATCTGGACTGTGGCAGCATCTTTCAAGTGAATAAAACCAGCTCCCCTCCCAATGCCACCTGCTTCCACGACTGTTTGTACCAAGATGGTCTTTTGCAAAACTGTTCACAGAGTGAGGGAGGTAACTGCTCTGTGCTCGCTGAAGCTGTCTGTGGTGAGGTTTTTATTTTTCTTGCACTGATAATATAAAAAATATGTAAATACATTTCCTGCTTTTACTTTCATTTTCAAAAACACTATTGCTGCATTTGCTTTAGAATTCTGGGCCTACCTTATAAAAATCTTTAGTCCACTATGTTTCCACTTTCATTCTTTTTTTGAATTCTTTTGAATTTTTTTAAGAAAACAAAATAAATACTTATTATTATGCAATGTGCAATTCTTCCGAAATAACTTTGATTTTTGGTATACACTAACCCTATATTTTGACTACTGTTTGAGTTTTTGCGTAGTATTGTTTTACTAAAGTACAATAAGTAAATAACTACTTCCTTACATGATATGACATGATGTCCCTACACATAACACTTTCAATTCTTTAAATAATATATATACATTTATTTTTTTACCAGCAACTAGTCTAGAAACCAGATCGAGGCCAGCCCTTGGTTATCAATTCAGTCAGAAATGTTATTCTAATGCATGAGCGTCTCTTTTCTATTGTTTAATAAATCTAATTATTATCAAAAACTGCCATAAAAGTATTTCCCAGGCTGTCTCTGCTCTTCATCATAAAACATTCATGTCTTCCAGGCCGCCGGGCTGTGCGGCTGGCCGGGGGCTCAGGTCGCTGTGCAGGGCGGGTGGAGCTGTGGAGAAATGGAGAGTGGGGCACCGTGTGTGACGACCAGTGGGACCTGCGGGATGCCGACGTGGTGTGTGCTCAGCTCGGCTGCGGATACGCTCTCAGTGTGACGGGACAGGGCGGCTCCTTCCCCCCGGGCAGAGGACCCGTCCACCGGGACGAGCTGAACTGCACCGGCCGAGAGGAGAGCCTGTGGGACTGTCCGGCCTCACAGGAAGAGTCGGACTGCGGACACAAAGAGGACGCTGGGGTCGTATGCTCAGGTCCACTTCAATAATTGTTCAAACTTACACAAAACTGAAACGTATCTATAAGCGTTAAAACAATTTATCTCACAATTCGCTTACAGTACATCATGGAGGGGTTGAAAACTCCAGTTAGTGATAAGTTAAAAAGTGGTCAATGGTTGGATATGTATATATTTTGTAACTACCTTTCTATGGCATATTTGTTAGTTTTGTAAAAGTGAAAAAAGTACAACAAAGCCAATAGGCGCGTTCACACCGGAGTACTTTTCACCGTACTTTTCGCGTTTAGTTCTGTTAGTACACCTTATGTCGCGTTCACACCAAAAAGAGCACTTCATCTCGGGAACTTTTACCCCCATTTTTAGTGCCTGCTGAGAGATGGTACTTTCCTGGGGGAAAAAAGTGCCCCAGTTCTGATTGGCTGGGCGAATTGCAAACCACGCCCCGTAAAACTCTGAAATGTTTTGTAGAGCCGCCATTTTATTATCCTCGCATTAGCATTATTAGCATTATTAGCATTAGCATTCGCCCAGCGCACAAACGCAGAGAGACTAACTTATGGCAACACAAAATAAAACATGGGAGCGGTGGAGATGAGGAGGTGTCGGCGTTCTGGCGATTTACTCGGAAGGCTTCAGTAGAAGCTGCTGGGAGTCCCAGCAGCTTCTACTGAAGCCAGTCCCCAACTCCGGGGACTTCCGGCCGGGGACTTCGGGTGGCAGTATACGCCGTGAAGTTGTTTGCGTCCTGCCAGTAAACCCAAAGCAGAAGAAGACGAAGTGACGTCAGCGGCTCATTTGCGTAATCTTCCCTCAGGGAATTTATTCCGGTGTGAACGCGATCTGTACTAAGTGCCCTGGGGTAATAAGTGCCGGGGCACTGAGTGCCGGCACTGAGTACGGCAAAGTACTTGGTGTGAACGCGGCTAATAGAGTGGCGAAGTCCCTCCCCTTCCGGTGGACCTCCATGGGACCTTATTTCGGAAAAAATATGTGTTGAAGTCAATGGAGAGAGAAAGATTATCTTTCGATCCCGTTTGAATTGTGCCACGAATTACACATATGATGTTTGTCAATTTAAAAAATCATTTCCATGTCAAAAAAGTCACAGTTTGCCGTAAAACTGTTGAAATATAAGACTATGAAAAATACGCAACTAGAAAGACTACAAATCCCAGAGTCGCGTAAGTGATGTCATTAACGTTACACATTACACTCGTGTTACTCACCGAAACCTTGTAAAGCCGCTCCCGCATGCTGGCTCTTACGGAACCGACTAACTCCCCTTGTGTGTATGTACAGCTCTCAACATGCCCAGACTTGTTGTGATTTTCACCTCTTTTAATACTTTTTGCCTCATTCTGAAAGAAAGAGGTGAAATGTGCCAACGTGACGGCCATCTTGGTGTTGGTGACGTGTGCGAGACCAGAGATGTAGTTCATTGAGCGTTTCACACAAAAAAATGTGTTACTTCACAGTTTTACGACACAATTTAATTTTTTTGACTTGCAAAATGATCTTTTAAATTGACAAACATCATATGTGTAATTCGTGGCACAATTCAAACGAAATCGAAAGATAATATTTCTCTCTCCATTGACTTCAATACATCATTTTTCCGAAATAAGGTCCCATGGAGCTCCCCCGGAAAGGGAGGGACTTCGCCTCTCTATACATGAGAGTAACACATGCGTCACTTCCGGGCAAAAATGGCGGCTCCGCCCACTTTTTGGGGAAAACAAAGCTGTCATTTGAATAGGGAACCGCAGTGACGCGTCCTAAAACCCGGAAGTAAACTTCTTCCGGTTCCTTCGACAAAAATGCAATGCAATTTCTCCATAGGATTTTGGAAAATAGCTTGAAATAAGGTCTGTGGTTGACACACATTTAAGAGACAGATCACGTTTTGTTCAGCCGGGTAATCTCCACATGTCTACCCTACTTTTATAATTTTCTAATCATAAATCTAATCGATAGATTTATGATCGATAGATTTATGATTCGAAAATTATAAAAGATGGGTAGACATGTGGAGATTATCCAACTAACGCGGTTTAAGGGATTTTTGCAGGTATTTGGTCATAAACCCAACTATTTTATAAGATAGGAACTTTATTAATCCCATACACACGTGATAATGAAAATGAAACCAGATAAAAACAAAACATATAAAAACAACAGCTATTTACATATATATACACCTTTTTTTGCGTACACAGATATGACATACACTTTTCACTTAATATGATCCATGACGGATAGTTCCACCCAAATCTAAAATACACACATGATGTGCAGCCCTGCACTAAAACATGTAAATACACATGAAACATTTTTGTAATTTAATTGTTTATAATATGGTGTATACAAAAATAATGTATAATCTTGATATGTTGATGGTGTTAAATGAAAAGCTAGTGGTGACTACAAACCAAATAAAATGTATTCTGCTAAAGGTAAGAATAAGTGGTGCTAAAAGAAAAGTTGAAGGATCACCAACGTCAGGAGAATGCTTTTTTAAGGGAAGATCTACAAAGTTGAGGGGCAATGTTTGTAATTAAATATTTTTTAAATATAACAAATCCGGAAAATACAGTCATTTATTTTGGTTACACAAAACATATTAAATGTACTGTTGATCATAATTACAACAAATACATCATATCAAGGATATGATTTTAGGGTCCTCAATAGTGAATTGAGTACCGAAATGTCCACTGAGAAAAATTAAATCAACATGGATTCACATTTTGTATTTTCTGTGTGCAGAGATGAGAGCAGTCCGTCTGACTGGAGGTCAGGACCGCTGCTCTGGTAAAGTGGAGATCCACCGTAATGGCAGCTGGGGAACGCTGTGTGATAACTGCTGGAATAAAGACATGTCCTCCATGGTGTGCGCCATGCTTCAGTGTGGCACTGAGCCAGAGAAATTCACCCAGTTTGTTCCTCCTCTCGCCCACAACAACGGGACACTGTGGTTCTATTCATGCAAAAACGTGCAGAATATGTGGCAGTGCAGCGAGTACGTCAACAAAACACACCTGTGCATTTCCTCAAAAGCCTCTGGCGTCATCTGTAAGGGTGAGTGTTTGTTAATGTCCAACAACATCAGTATAAGATAGGTTTACATTGGTTTTGTAGAAAGAATCCAGACCTGAGTACATCATAATAACATCTTTATATAAAATGTACAAAACAGGACTCAAAAGCAGCTATAAACATTTATTTTATTCATTGACTAAAGATCATTTTACTTTGGATAATTATCAGAGAACTGTTTTCTAATCTTTACACAGCCTTAAAAATGTTTAAACATTTTGTTCCAATTCTGCGGTTCAATATTAACAGAATTAACCTCACGTAATTCTTGTAGAAATATACAAATAATTTAAAGCTCATTCTGCCTATGTAGATAAAACAGCTAAATGGTTGTTGTTGAAATAATAAAATTGGATCTTGTTGTCCTGCAGGTTCCCTGGGTTTTGCTGAAGCCACCACAGCAGCTGGGTCAACTGTAATGACCAATTGGACTACTGGTAAATATGGAGTTGTTTATCTCAGTTCAAAAACACATATATGTTTTAAAAGTCACAGGATGGTGCTCAAACAAACACTGAACATTATTTTTCTTCATTAAACAATCAGAATGTATGCTCATTTAAACTTTCTTTTCTTTCTGTACATCCCAAAAGGTGTGACCTCAGTCAGTCTTACAGAAGGCTTCTCCTTCCCGTCTCCAGAGCTGCTCAGCACCATGGCTCTGGCTCTCCTGCTCCTCGTGGTGCTCATTACCAACTCAGTGCTGTGCTGCCATTACAGGAGGAGACACGGTGGGTCCTCCTCACTCAGACACAGCCATCCAGATTCAATTTGTGATTGTAGTACCTTAAATCTAAAAAATAAGATGTTTCAGGAGTTTTTAACTAAATCACTAAATGTTTATTATTGTGGCTTTGGTTTCTGATATCTGGCGTTCTTTATAAGATTAAAATGAATGAAAAACAGGTTTGCAAACTTTTTGGAAAATTCTCCTGATATTATGTTTTTGTGACAAACGTTTTTGCCTTCATTGCCTTCTTTAGGACGGAAGTGGAGAATATATATTTTTTAATTCAATTAGTAATTTCTTTAAATTGATAACAACATTATAATATAATACTATAATTAGTAAACAGTAAACAGTATAGTATGGTTTTATAGTTTTCAACCATATTTGCTCATGTTGTCAAATATGGGAGAGGAATATAATTCCTAATCATTTTTCTTTGGAAGAAATGCATCATTATTCCATATCCAGTATTATGTCTGAAAGGATCATTTATCTCAACAGACTACATATTAACACATTCTCCATTTTACATGTCATGAAAAGATCAAATATACTCCCATCTTTCCATTAAACTGATACCTCTAACTATTAGACAGTAGACTCTTCCGACAGTCATACACAAAGCACGAGTTAAATAATTCTCTTTATAATTTGGTAATTGTGTCCACAGCGTTCTTGCTCCAGCAGACACGCAGCAACCCCCGAATCCCCTCTGAACATCATAACAACAGCTACCAGGACTCCGTCGACCTCGTCAAGGTCACTCCCAACCCACTGCAGAACAAAGGTAAATAGATATACTGATAAATAGATTAAACCTAGATGTGTAAGCAGAATAGAATAACCTGCAATTTAATACAATTTTGTATTTTATTTCTTTATACCTGACTAATATATGTTTATATACATACACCGTGTTGAGATAGTCGCATAAAATCATCTCATTGTGTCTTTTTTCATTTGTTATGTTTGTCCCCAAAAGTCCCCTCCAATCCCAGGTATCTGTGGACCCAGCATAGTAGTGTTGACAGCTCGTCAGTAGATACAGACTATGAGCAGTATGAGCAAAGCAATGACCCGTCTGTCCCTTTATCCACCTTTCGGAGTGAGCTGCGTTCTTTTATTAACATTTACATTTGTAATTATTCCTCTCTGTTTCTCAGGCTTTGCCTCCTAGGATGGTTTCTTGCTGTGTTGCTGCATTTTGCGGTTGAAGCTGCTTTGCCCTGTCTGTCTGTCTGTCTGTCTGTCTGTCTGTCTGTCTGTCTGTCTGTCTGTCTGCTTGCAGGAGTGTCAGGGTGAATGGCAGTGGTGTCAGTGCAGTGCAATGTGCCGATGGATGACACATTAGCCCGTGTTTATTCACGTCAGAGCTCTTTCTGTTAAGCAGTCCCTCCTGTAGTCTACAGCCAAAAGCAAGAGTCTATAAATAAAAAAAAGAACAGGATGTGTGGTCTTTGCAGACCAATGCTGTTTGCAGCGAATGTTTGCAGCGATGGTTTTCAATTAACGCACTCTCATTTTGTTTGCAGATTCTCAGAGGTTCAGAACAGAAGTGAACCCTTTCATGAGGCCTGCAGGTCTCCACAGCCTCTCTGAGGAAGGTGAGTCACTGTCACGTTTGCAAAGATGACACAGAAACAAAGAAGTTTCACTTTGCAGATCTCAAATATACGAAAATATTTCCACTGTATACTTTTGGTATCATCAGAGGATGGCTCAAGCATGAAAACATAAAATCAAGGAAATATTTTAAGTTATAAAGGCTTATTTTGGTTTTCATAATAAAATAAATAAAGAACATACACAAAACAAAAACAAAAAAGGTCATAGAAAATACAGTCGTACTCATCATACAATATGTGCAGTTGGATTAAAACAAGTATATTATTTTTTTCAAATAAAAAGTAGCTGTTTCCAAAACACATACTGAAAGGATTCAGCTCCAAAAGCCACATTATGTTTCACAGAATTTTCCGATATGTTCATCATTATATCGTTTTTTGTACTTTTCCGGTTTATAGTATGCTAAAAGTCAATATTTCTGTGCTGAGGAAGTTAACCATTTATTCAAATGACTGCTGCTACATACTGAAACCTTTTAGCAATGTTCAACAAAATAATACAATAAAATACTTCAAATAATAATTACTTATTTTGTACACACTCTCAATGAGCCTGAAGCATCATGGTAATGAATGTACAATAGCATAGCGACACACTAAACCTTCTTGGTCCAAACATTACAACAAATTATTAACATTATTTAATTATTATTATATTATTTAAAAATATATATAAAAAGCATATTTATAGCTGTTAATTATTCTCTCGGTTATTCTATAATAAGTTATCCTTATTATTCCTTGTCTTCAATGTTATTGTCCTGATTTAATTCCCCGGCCCCTGAACCCTCAGAAGAAGTGATGGGAACGTTTTCCGGCTGTATCGGCGACGCAGACGCTCCGTACGCCAGAGTGTCGAAGATGATCTCAGTGGACTCGTTTGATACGTCCAGCACCTCCTCAGGGGAGTGCTACGAGAACACCAGCAACAACTACGTCACCTTGCCCCCCGGTCAGTCCTATTCATTCACCTGCTTCCTTTCAAATAGTCCCTTTTTTTCTTAAGCTTCCTCTAAAGAAAAATGTTAATCATGAGAGGGAATTAACTATAGTATTCCTTTAAGATTTAAATGATTATCCCCCCTCTTTTAGTCAGGTTTAGTAATTATTGGTGAAATGAGCACTGTCATTATAGAGGTGGTCAACAGGGATTTTGTCTAAATTCCAATGGTTAAAGGCAGTAAGATGAATTCAGTGATTTATTTTGAATAGTCGAAATTGAATTAGCACAGGTAGGTAAGCAAGCTTTGCAACTATGAGGAAAATTGTGGCAATAGAAACCAGGTGGGTGATTGGTTGACGGGGACGGAGACCACTTACTCATTAAGTGCGCAAAATAAGATAGACATTTCATATTTTCAAACAGATTTAACAACTTAAGGTTACACTATATTCTTATGTTTTTACTAGGGCTGTCAGTCGATTAAAATATTTAATCGCGATTAATCGCATGATTGTCCATAGTTAATCGCGATTAATCGCACATTTTTTATCTGTTCTAAATGTACCTTAGACCAGAGGGATATTTTTCAAGTTTTTAATACTCTTATCAACATATGAGTGGACAACTATGCTTTATATGTTTGTTTAATATCATTTGAACAATGACAAATATTCTCATGAATATTAAACACAACAACCTCTGAACATTACAAATATTCGCCTCATTTCAACCTAGAACCTCTCTCATACAATAATACAATACTGTGTGTGTGTGTGTGTGTGTGTGTGTGTGTGTGTGTGTGTGTGTGTGTGTGTTGGAGCTATGTGCAGCTCAAGGCATATATGCCTGTGTGTATGAGCTGTGTTGCGCGCACTATCCGTGCTGAGTGTGCTGTCTGGCTACCTGCATAAAGTCAAGTGCTCGGCGCAGTTGTCGGCGAAATGTCGCTCCTCTGTTTTCATTGAAACAGCTCCTTATATCCGTTAGCTCAGCTAGCTAGCACCAGATGCTAACAACAACACGTAAGGTGTGCTTCGCTCGCGCCACACATACACACACCCTCCCGGTCCTCCCGATGGCCAGTCCGGGCCTGCCGGTGAGCGTGGAAGTGTGGTCTGCCACAAGCGGGCAGCAGGAGCGGGGCTGTCAGCATCAGCTTGTAGATGGTATTTTACACTCGATGCGCTCTGAAACTACGGCGGCCGAGGACAAAAAATACACATGCGTTAATCGCGTTAAAATAATTAGTGGCGTTAATTTTTTTTTGCGTTAACGCGTTATTAACGCGTTAACTTGACAGCCCTAGTTTTTACTTATGATCATATATAACCCTGTCTAGTCTAGAAACGGTATACATGTGCCTTTTATTGTCACGTTTGGTCTATTTACAGGGACTGTTGCAAAAACCAACCAGCTCATAAACATCAGATTAAAAAACGTACATTTTAATATGTTTTAATATTTTGTACTAAACCATGGTTTCAACAAGTTACAACAGTTCCTTTTTTTGCTGGAGTTTGTCCCAAAACTTGCTGCTGTATTTACACCGACACCTTAAAGGAGCCGCTTTCATCTGAGAGTGAGACCACAGACATGTAGGGGTCAGTTTGGAACTGGGCCAGGGAGAGAAAGGATCTCATCAGGGGTGGAGGAGGAAGGAACAGGTGAGTGGCTGAGGACATCTGGTGGACAAATGGAAAAGCGCTACAGAGGGGTCTTGTTATTGGTCACTGAAGATGGGATATACTACTGGAAATAAATGTGACCTTCATATCATTTTGAAATATTGGGAAAGGATATTGCAGCTCTTTTTTATTCAAGACAAATAATACTATCGCTGGAGAGGGTTTAGCTTTTTTCTACTACAAGATTCATTTACACTTTTTGTACTGTAACTTAACTAAATCTGGGGGTGTTTTTTTTATCATAGAGGCAATAAAAACAAAGTCATTAAAGTCATCTAATCGGAGATACAGGGTCCCGCGATTCAATAAAGTCAGACTGAAGCACTCCTTTGTGCTCCAGTCAATCCTCTCAGTAAACACAGAGCTGATCCCAGATCAAATGCACGCTAAAGGCTCTGAGCATGTTTTCTCTCAGTGATTGTGATGTTATGTTAAATGTATTTTTTTGTCATGTATTCTGTCTTGATATTTGTCCATGTTGATGTTGCAAATGGAGCTGCTGTGATGCAAATCAAATTTCAGACTTGATCTGACCATTAAAGTATTATCGTCTCGTATAAAGTCTAAAGCCAAGCTGAAACTGCCTCACATGTTGTATCACCTGTGCTGTTACACATTGCAGAACCAGAGCCGGGTCAGTCGTCTGGTGTCAGCGAAACCTGCAGAGATCAGGTGAATGTTACCGGATGTTACACATGTGGAGAAACTAAGATCTACAACATGTGCTGATCTTTTTTATTGTCTGATCATTAGATGATGAAGGAGACAGCCCCATCTACTCTACAAAACCTCTCATCTGATGATGACTACGATGACATCGACACCTTGGAGTAACCGGAGGAGGTTACATCTACTGAAACCGAGTGGGACTGAAGCTGCACACTGCACTGAAAATAACATGTACTTTAAGACCAAACACCTGTTTAAACTGAGAAATGCCAAGGAGATGTATAGTTATAAAGAAGTCTATACATTGAGGTTAAAACCTGGATATACTTGATTAAAACAGGGGAATCTAGGGTACATATTTTAGCAGCATTTAAATGTCTCTGTTATGTGCAGTAGTTAACATTGAAAAGCCTTTGATTAAAGAGGAAAATGTGGCGTCAGCATATAAAAATGTTCTTTTCTACCACATTCTGACCCAGATTTCATGACCAATTGTTGACCTGTTGTGAACCACTATAATAAGTTCAATGTACTTACCGTGATTAACTCCCTGTAAGTAATCCATCATTATGAACATGGTGTTGCCTTTTTAGCCTGTTGTCAGAACAAACTGTTTGAAAAGACTTTAATTGTTCTTTTCATGATGCTCAGACGTCCATTGAGATTTGGCTCTGAAAGCATCACCCTCATGCATTCCTGATCAAAAAGAAAACCAGGGGACAAATGAGAGGAATGTGGATGTTTTGAAAAGGCCACCGGAAATTAAAAACATTGTTCATAGACCGAGAGGGTGGGTATCATTTGAGAGGAAATCTACATTTTAAACAACTCAAGGTCAGAACAACTCTGAGAAGTATGAGTATAACAATCTGTGGGGTGATTTTATGGAATGGTTTGGAGCAGGAGTTAAAACAAAGCACAAGCATAATTCAGTTTAAAAGGATGTACAGAAACACTTTTTTGGAAAACTATGAGAATGAAGAGAGGTGATTGAAGATGAGAAATTATTGTATATGTATGTATAAATATAAATGTAAGTAGGAATAACTTGCACAATGACTTAAAGGACAATCATTGATCAAGTAAGGGGTGGGAATTAATAAGCATTTGCTTCCTCCTACTCCCTTTCGGACACATATGATTTTTCTTTTTTTTTTTATTATTATTATTAATATGAAGATTTTTTTTGTTGAATATATAAATATTATCGTGAATGTGGATAAATACTGTATTTTAACAATACGGTATTCTGTTTTTTCACATTTGTTATTTTTTATTTGTTATTTTTTAATCTGTTCGAAATAAAGATTGAAATGAAATATAACTTTACAAAGAAAGAGCCAGTTCGCGGCAACTATCATTTTGAAATGCAATGAGTCTGAATGAAAACCAAAGACTGCCTGGAAGGTGGAAATCAAACTGAGAATAGCATCTGTAACATATGTATGTTTTGTGTTTTTCATATACAGTATATTTAATTGATGTTAGCAAAACAGTTTTCTTTAATAACTATTACATTAATGTGTTGCCAAGTGGATTTACAGTAAGTACAAGAAAACTACTGAGTTTGGTGCACTGCATGGCCAAAAGTATTTGTACACAAACATTACATCCAAATGTGATTGTTGAATGTGTGATTAAAAAATAATGGATATTAATCTGCGGCTCTAACAGCCTCCAAACTTCTGGAACAGTTTTCTAAACGATGTTAGATTGTAATATTTTACAATAAATTACTGTTTTACCACTTTACAGTCTTTACCTGTAATGTTCACAATATAATACTGTAATTTTGAATTTCACAGTGAAATCAATGCAGGCACAGTTAATTACTGTGAATGTACAGGATACATGATTACCAGGATTTCACAACATGTTACTGTATTATTTCATAGTAAATACTGTATTCAGACCATCCTCTGTGATAACACAACAAATTAAGATTGCTTTTATCGCTCTTGCTTGGCTTCAAATACTAATTTCTTTCTTTGGTGCAGGTTTTACTTAAATTGAAAGGGGCACTGCTGCATGTGCCTTAAAATAAACGATGCAACATATAAATCTATGTGAAATTGTTGTCTTGGCTTATTGTTTTCAGGTGCTTCCTGGGCATTAATCCTGACACATTAATGTCTCGCCTATCCTAACGCCGGGAGACACTCTCCTTAGAATACCTCTTTGCCATTTTGAGCTGTAGGCCATATTTTTGCAGATGTTTTATGTTTAGCCTGGAGGACCTGGTAGTCCAGTTTTCGCGGCTTTATTTTGTTTCCCATAGGGTTTATAATTGATTTCTGGTTAGGGGGGGGAGCTCTGTGGCTGGCTCGGGTTCCCTCCTTCTGTTTGTTCCTTTTGGCCAGTCCTCCAGACCTCTTTTTGTTTCCCGTTTCGCTTGTGTGAGCAAACGGCTGATTATCAATAAATGCTCGTTACCAAGTACCGGTTATTGCGTGTATTCTTTCATGTTGCGGGTCTCAGCACGAGCCACTACCGCGGAGTAGAGGTTGGGGCCGTAACAACATTTGCAAGACACTGTGAAATGTACTTTGCACTTCAAAGGAGTAATACAAAGTTAAAATGGGCATTTTCTTTGTTTTTCTTTGTTGATTGAGCTGATTGAATTGTGTAGTTATGGTAAAATCCCAGTTAACTAGTCAAATTTACAATATATTATCGTATTATTTACATTTTTATATTTACAGTAAATTACTGGCTAATGTGTTGCATTACTTCTACAGTAAAAGTGTGAAAATACAGGTAATTACTGTAATTGATGTACTGCAAGGTACCATAATACCACAGCTCTGTACTGCTACATCACAGTAATTCCATGGGCATGGCAACTGTAAAGTCACAGTATTTAGTTGTACTTTTATTCTAATTTACTGTAAAATATCTACAGTAAATTACTGTGAAATATTTACAGTCAATTACTGTGAGATATTTACAGTCAATTACTGTGAAATCCATGCAACTAGTAGCCAGTAATTTACTGTAATTTTACAGCCAAACATTTTACAGTGCACCTTTTTTAACATTTCATTTCAGTTGAAGAGGCCCTGTTTGGTTTCCCTTGTCCTGTAGTGCTTTGTGCATGTGGTCTGCAAAGGCTACAATCCCTGTGTTCCCTCCAGAGGGAAATGTTTCTCCTACCAGGAAACTCCAAAGGTTTCACATACTTTTCTTGCCACTGTATTCCAGTTCAATGATCATTCTAGTTAAATGACATTTTACACATGTTGCCAATATAAATCCCAATCTATAAATTCATGTATAAGGATAATTTATTTTGATCTTATTACATATATACAAATAAATCAAATTAAAATCATTTTTTAGTTTAGTAACAACATGTACATCAACAATTTCTCTGGATCCCTAATGTGACCAAGACCGCATGTACTTTACAGATCCTATTATAAAGATTAGATTATCTCGTAGAGAATGGAAAGCTGACACTCAGCCCACTTGTATTTATGTAATGTCCGTTTTTAAATAAGGTCACAAACTAATGGTCCCTGTTTAGAGAAGCCCTCCATCAGTGTGTGGTGGCACTCATCCACCACCTGAGGGTGCAGCAGAACCAAATATATCAGACAGAGAGTTTCATTTGAGTTGATGAAGAAAATAACATTTTAACCTGGAGATGATATTTGAGCTCCATGAGAGCAGAATAATTCAATTGTTTAAGTTGAAGGTTTGGCAAAGCTTGGGGGACGCTTTTCAAAATAAAACAGGAAACACTGACAGATCGTTACAAAATATCATTCATGGATTTATACTTTTAAGTTTTATTTATTTATTTCAATCACAACAAAAAGATCCCTTCCTCCCCCGAATGGAGCAGGCTGGCTATGCAAGAAAGATCCATGTCCATGTTTATGGTTTCAGCTTCAGAAGATAATATTTGGTCTTTTTACATGTGGATGACCTATTGTGCTTTTGCATACAGCATAGCCCGAAACATTCTCATTAAAAACAATTGCGAAAAAATAAACCATAAATGTATATGTATATATACCATATACATATAGCCTAATGTATATGATACGCTCTGCAGCATACTGTGTGTAACTAGAGGTATTTTCTGGTACACTTTTCTTAAATAATAAGTTAGTAAGGTATCGTTGTCTGGTAGATGATTGTCTTCCCAAACTGTTATTCAAATAATGTGCAATTGTTTATAACACATCACTCTCTAGGTGTTTGAAAGGTGTAATAAAACGTTGGAGTTCTACCACAAGGTGGCACTGTAGGCTTGTAAGTTACTAAAGGTGCAGTGATGGCCTTACACATAAACTACGGGAAAACAAACATTTAATGCCATCAAATATTTGCCAAATAAATGTTTTTGCAGCTGTAATAAAATGTGACACATACCCTTTCTTGCTGAGCGAGGATCAGTCAAAACAATGCACAGCGAAGAGAGGGGGACTCTGGATCCTGATCAGGGGCCAAAATAAACTGAGTGCAGTCTGAAACCAGACCTGGCACGGCCCTTCTTCTCGGTCCATTAAATGTGCAGCAGCTGCAGAGCATCAACACTTCCTCCTGATGCTCTGAATCAAAGTAATGTCTTGTTTAGCAGAAGTAAATATGACAAACTGTTTCAAAAGCAACTGTAACACTTTTAACAGCGTGTGCAGATAAACATGGATTAGCTGCAGCTCTGCTAACGTGAGAAAACGGGAGTGATGATGCATTAGACTGATAACCAGCAGAATTGGGTGTTTTTTGACTGGAAAGTATTTGGCATGAGGATGAGGGTTGGGGTGAAGATGGGGGGGGGGGGGGGGGGGGGGAAGGAGGCTGTGGAAGGAGATAAAAATGTGTCTTATAGAATCATATATTACCCCTCAAATTAAGTCCAGAGCTCTGCATCGAGATAAACAGGCGAATTAACGATCAGATCTCCTTATGAAACTCAATCTCTTTCACATGCCGGAGAATCCAGCACACACACACACTCAAACCCACACACCACTTAACAGATTCCATCTAAAAGTATGCTCTTTGATATACTGTAGATCCTCCTCCCGATGTTTGCTTTTGTTTCATTCCGTCGCTCGGAAAGATGGATAAATCAGAATCTTAAAATCTGTGGATTTACAGTCCTGATTAACATCAAGGGAGAGAAATGCTGTCCACTAGTATTTCAAGTAGCTTGTAGTATTTGAGGGATTAGAAGATCAACCCTCTGTTTTTACTTTGTTCATTAAATCAGTTACACACAAAGGATTACGGCTCCATAAATCCGTAAATTGCTTAAAGTGTCCCGACAACAGATCCTGCCTGAGTTTAAACTTTTGAACTCTGTTTGGTGCAGGAGGCCTGGAGAGAACAGTACCTGCCTGCAAACAATGTGTAGCACGTACTGGAACATTACAGCCGCTGCAGGCTGTGTTCAGGGCCTTTAGGATTTTCATCCTGTAATAAAAAAAGAATAAAAAGAGTATAAAGAAACCAGTTTTTTGGGGGAATTTTAGCAAGAGAAATATGTGCTGTTAAAGATCTATGTTTGTATCAGTAACATGTTCTAAAGTCTACTAGGGTTTCACCGTTTTGACCCATATCCCGTTTCTGTTAGTGTTTCTTCTTCAGATGATGACCTCATTACACACCTCTGGTCATGTGATAACAGGTGTGTATGGGAGATGCCAAATGTGGTTGAAAGCTCCAGAAAAACTCAAATAAAACCTTGAATTACAAAATGTATTTACAATATGCATTCCCAGGTTCAACAATGACATACAGATTGATATATTAATCGATTACAAGGTAAAATGGGTTTCACATTTTCATCCACCTGTTTTAAAGCTTTTCTTATGCATTCTACCTCTAAAATCCACCTGTATGCTATCTGCACAACACCAAACAGC